CTCAGAAATAGTCTTGCCTTTTCTTACACCATGGAGTTTTCAATTTGGACAATAGTGTTGTGGAAGGGGCTAAAAGCAGGCCTGTTAGCTAAAGAAGCTGAGAAGAAGCTGAGAAGCAAGAAGAAGCTGATAAGCAACTTTCTCCAAGGCTGTCACCAAGGAGACCAAGAAAAGAGAGGAATTGAAGAAAGATAAGGAGAGAACTTTGCAGCTGGATGAAGTATTTTTAGAAAGTTAGCTGAAGTCACTGTTACTTTTCACCAATGGTGTTATGTTGAATTATTGTGGCCAATAGTTAAGGTAGAAGAAGGATAAACAATTAGAAAGCGTATAAAAGGTCAGCCATCTTCGAGAATAAACAGTTGCCATCTGAAACTGCTTACTGTCTATACTTTGTGTCGCGACCGCCTCAACAGCGACATAGTGTCTTTGCTTATTCACAAGAAACATTGTCTACAGCTTTACTAAAATGAAGATATATGACTTTTTAATACTTCTCTCCTTACCTTATTTTAAAAGGAGGTCTTATTGGTTTAATAGGATTTGTTCTTGACAAATCCATGGTCATCATTATTTGTCCATCTTGTAATGCATACAGATGATTTGCTTGACAATTGCCAAAAAACAGAACCTATCTGATTTATAACTCACCATCTTCTCCTATTTTCTTGTGTGTACGTAACCTAAAGCCTATTTGAAATTAAGAGGGCTGCTTCCATGACCATATCGTGTCTTCTGAACTGGAAATCAGTAACCTGCCAAAACTATGGCAGTAGAACCAGGAGCAGAGCCAAGAAGCCCAGCACATCCTCGACCGCCCTAACAAATCTATAATCACTGCACAACCTTTCTTCGCCTCATTGGTCCCACTTCCCTTTATTTCCTTGAACCATCAATGTAACATCCCTGTGGAGGTTGGTTTCTAGAAGTTCACAGAGATTTTATTAAAAATTCATACAGATATTTCAATTTCCAAGCAGATTTCCTGCATTATATTTTGCTCACAAGACCATCTGCTTTCTGCTTCCTCCTAAACTGAAAATCACCTGGATCTGAGTTGTCAAACCAGCATCCAGGAACTGATTTATTTAAATCTTATGTCTCTATTTCTTTATTTAATACATAGGGACAAAAATAAATTCTTTGACCTTGGCAACCTTTGGCTATTATCTGGGAGCTTAAGCCAGAGACTCTCATTATGAAGTGAAATATATTTATCTTCACTGAAAGGCGAGAGAAAAAGAAACAACTTACCGATCAGTGTTTTCTCCCAGATGATTTCTGGTATGCTTCAAGAGAAACAAGATATAAATTAATGCACACAATATTTTGAGTTTTCTTCCAGAGCACGCACAGTCACTTTTTCCACATCAAACAAAAAATACAGTCTTTGCACTTTCAACCATTTCCAACAGTACACAAAATTCTCTCACTCTTTTACTTTCTTGGCTAACACCACCCTAATTCTTCCCTTTCAAGACTTATCCAAGTAATCTGTGCACTACTGACCCAGAGGCATTGTTTCTCTAAACAGCACCAATTAAACAAATTACTAAATTACTTTGTGCAGCTAAAAATACTGAATGCTGTATACCACAGCTCTGTCAAGGATGTCACTACTAAGTTGCATCAGTTTAAATACTTCTTGGGACCAGCCTTGCTGTACTGTGGGTATTGTTAAAAAAATAGATGGGGAGAAGTTGAAATGTAAACCAATTTAAAATTTTGCCCCTTTTCTTTCTCAAAGGGAAAAAGATATCCCACTTCAAAGGCTGTTTGAAGGTTTTGTCTTTCCAATTCTGGGGTAGATTCTCTTTTCCACGAGAACAAACATCTCTGCTCCAGTAGCAGCCAACACTTCCTAATGTGACTAGGGAAATTCAATTTGAGTAACAAAGAACTATTAATTAATTTTCAATTTGACTCATTTTGATGGAACCAACTTGTTTCCCTAATTTTCCCCATTCGTGTCTCTGCAAAACTGTATTTATTTTAAAGGAAATTATACAGGAATTCTTGTATTTAATATTAAAAAGGTTCCATCTATTACTAAGTACCTTTTTGTTTGTGGGTTTTTTCCTTTCTTCATAATTCTCCCTATCTGTCTCTCTCTTCTTTCCTCTTTTGCTTCTCCTGACCAGCTGATCTCTAAGTCTTTTAGGGTGAAAAAGAAAAGAAAAATTACAAAATAGGGCTCAGAAAAAGGGGATGAGAATGGTAAAAAAGTAGATAGATAAACTATGCAACTGGAACAAGTATAATTGGTTTTTTAAAACTTAACTTTTTAGATAATTTGCATTAAGATTAGTGTCACAACTATGCTGCTAGCAAGAGGTTGCATTTTATATCAGTTAGATATAATTCTTAAGTTCCTTTCAGAGAGAAAAAATATTTTAGTATCTCAGAGAAGCAATTGACATTAAAATGTGAATCTTGGTATGTGCCTCAAGTGTACGATCAAAGGTACTAAATCATCTGAAACCCGTTAAACACATGACAATATTTAATTTTAATGAACTACAGTTCTAGTCTTTAGTGTTTCTTAGTGACATTTATTCTTAGACACAGAAGTTTAAGGGGTGTTTGGCCTTGACTTCAGATCTTCAGCAATTTCCACTGAAATTTCTGAGAAGAATCTTAGCCAATGTTTTAAAACACCGAGGCCTAAATTTAGACTGTTAAATCTGTATTTAGCCCTGCAATGTGCTGAGCTCTTGGGCTGTGATCCAAGAAAGCACTTATGAGTTCCCATTAACTTGAAAACACTTTCAGGTCTATTATTCACTTTACCAAAAATACTGAACTCAAATACTTAAAATTATGCATGCACATTAAGTAGCCTGTTGGACTTAGCCTTATGCAGACCCCAGTTCAGGTCAGCTCGTACCTGAGACCCTGACTCACTTTATTCTTTGAGACAGACATTTTAAAATATGGTCAATATCTGAATACATTTATAATTCATATTCTGTCCTGTTTCTATATTACTATGATATAATGATAATAACAACGACGATGATAATAATAGTAATAGTATTTTGCACGCTCAAATCCTGTTTGTGAGAAATAATCTGGATAAAAGTTGCACTGCAGTGGCTAAGAGTTAGTTTTCCATGTCTGGGAGGGACAGGATGAATAGGAATAGGAAACACTATAGCAAAGGCATTCAGAAAAACTGTAACACTGAAGACAATGAAATACTGGTATAGATTGTTTAAGGAATCCATTGAACCTGGTTCATTGGAAGCCTTTAAGAAGTGGCTAAAGCACTCACTAGTCACTCTTTCCTTAAGGGGTAGGATGTACTAGGCACATTCATAAGGTGCCTTTTAGCTCTGTGCCTCTTTTAAGTTTTGACATCAGGCTTGTGTTTGCTCTTGCTATGTACTGGCTAGCTTTCTATGCTGATATCATTACATTTGCCCACTTAGGACTCATGTCATGATTCAGTTGGGAGCAAGCAGCAGGAGAAAACAAATTTTTTAATATATATAAGTATTTCTAGCCACAGAAAAAAAGGCTGGCATGTGAAAACTGGCTAGAATAGTTTCCATCCCATTTGTCTATTTCCCAAATAGAGTGAAAGACAGTGAAAGACAACATCTGTTGTGATCTGACAGGAATCCTGGTGTTTTCTCTAAAGGCATTTGCAGGAAAAAAGTACAAAATCAGAATTAGAGGAGTTAGTAGTGATCATTTGTGAATGTGACAATCACTAGTTATTGTGCAGTGCTGTAAGAGATACAACCTCAATGTGCAGCAAACCCACTTCTAAAAGTGCCCCATATGCCCACCACAAGATCCCTCCTGTTCTGTACTGTGTCTCATTTGTGCCAAAAGCCAAGCTGATGGTGTGACTGTATCCACTGTATCCTCAACAAGGTAGAGAAATCCTCATGGAGGAGATACAAGGCTGGAGGAACATCCATTTCAACCCATCTTTCCCAATTGATTACTCTTATTTACAAGGCAAAATTAACCAGCTATAAATAAAAAAGAGAAGTCCTCATTTACTCACTTGTGTTGCCCTTCATAGAATCATGGAATGATTGCGGTTGGAAGGGATCTTAAAAATCAACTAGGTTCAACTCTGTTGCCAAAGCCAGGGACATCTTCCACTAGACCGGGTTGCACAAAGCCCCATCCAATCTGGCCTTGAACACTTCCAGGGATAGGGCATCCACAGCTTCCCTGGGCAACTTGTTCCAGTGCCTCATCACTCCCACTGTAAAGATTTTTTTCCTAGTATCTAATCTAAAGCTTTTATTTTGAACCCATTCCCTGTTGTTCTGTCACTACATGGTCTTGTAAAGAGCGTTGCCACATCTTTCCTGTAAGTTCTCTTCACGTACTGTAAGGCTGCGATTAGGTCTCCCTGAAGATTTCTTTTTTTTCCAGGTAGAGCAACCCCAGTTCTCTCAGCCATGCATCTCAGGGAATTTGTAATATCCAGCTGAAACAAAACTCACAGTTAGTTGTAGAGGCACAATATGTGCATGCAAGATACGCTTTGATTGATTGCTACACAGACCTTAACTTAGGGCACTTTTTAACTGACAAAATCAGCTTTCTCACTGGGAAATGCATCATGAGGGAGTTTGGAAATAGGATTCAGAACTGGCTGGAAAGACCCAGTTAAAATCTGAACTTTCCCAATGGGGAGATCATGACTTTTCAAAGAAGGAAATGATAATATGGAGGAATGCTTGGGCTGACATTTTGATTTGAGATTGCTTTTGTTAAAAAACCAAAGCCCCCCCCCAAACCCCCAACAACAACAAAAAAGAGCAAATAACAAAACCCCAAAATAAAACCCCACAACAAACGAACCAAACAAAAAATCCCACCCTGCTTATTTTGTTACTTCACTAAATTGGAAGAAATGTTTGGTGCTTGACTTAAAGGTCTCCGAATGTCAGAGTTATAGATAAAACCAAAAAATAGGATCTTGAAAACTCAGAAGACACATTTTGTTTTTTTTCAAATTTATTTTCCTTTCATCATTCACTTTTATCTCCATTCTAGAACATGAATAAATTTAAATATTGCGTAATCCTAAAGATGTGTGCCTGTTGGTAAAAACAGACTCCATCTTCAATTCACTCTTCCTCCAAATAATTTCTCAGATACAGATCAGCACCTTCATTGTATATTTATTGTTAAACATTTCCTTATTCCTGAATTCTGGGAACAAAACATAATTCCCAAAAGACTTCAATAGTTGCACTTAATGTATCAGGAAAAAAAAAAACAAACAGGATCATGCCAACCTTTAATTTTTGCACACACAGTAAAAATCACCATAAACCAAAACAATTAGGCATGAAGAGAAAAGAATTCTGAAGACTTGAAATACTGTCAAGGGATAAGTGAATTTTTTTTGATCAAAACTTGAAATTTGCAACAGGTACTCATGCCCAAGCATGTTCATCTCCAAGAAAGGAGGTAACAGTGACATACTAATCCTGTCTGCTGTGGAATGACATTCCTGCAGAAATCTGGGGAGGCAAAGCACAACGCTAGTGCCAATGGCATATCCAGACATAGTTGGAATTTTCCTAGAGAGGGCAGGGGGGCTGTTTCTCTTTCCCTCCACACACATTATGTAGCTATTGAACTCTGCAAGACTTGCAAAGAACACACTTTATATTATCTTTTCATTTCCATGGCATCTGTACATTTAAAGTTTCATGCCTCATTGTGTCTGCATGTGACCATCTTGTACATGTATTTAAATTGCTTCTCTTCCCTCTGATCTTGAGAAACAAAAGCAACATTGAATTCTTTTTCCATTATATATTTTTACAAAAGAACTACTGTAAAAATTAATCAAAGATATGCTGCTTTTTATTGTTATTTTTTTAATTTTGGGGGTTACTTTTCCTCATATTGCAGTGGTTTTGAAATTGAAACGTTGCACTGCTGAGAAAGTGCCATGAAAATATAACCCACTACATTCCAGGAAAATAAATAAGCAAGGCCACCCAAATTTTCAATTAGTGCTAGTGCAGTATGCAGGAAATGGCTGGAGAACCGTCAAAGGCAGCCTTAGGCTGGGTCGTGGATACGGAACAGTGACAGGAAGGTTTGAAGCAGGAATACAGGCTCAGTGTGAAGATGGCTCTTCTCCAAGGAAAACTGCATACTAATAGGTTAATACTGATTTCCTGAAACATACAGCCTGGGTATTACATGCTGGAATTTACATTCTGACAAAGGCAATTGCTGAGCCTCAAGACTTTGCTTTTTTGGTGATGAAATAACACTAGAAAGTTCAAACCGCATTATATATTTCATGTTTTAAGCTTATCAAACATTCAAAGTACAAACTGTGCACACCTGAAATAGCAACAGCCTCACTAGTTTGGGAAACTAGTATGAGAAACATTACATTTCAACAGGTCAAGCTTGTTTGGAATAATCCCAGCAAAAGATACCGACCAAGGTGGAGTGATGCCACTTTTAGAATTGACCTGTCTGGAATCCAGAATTACTGCCCAATCAAGCAGATATACACAGTACCAGGAATCAAACACTTTTGCTTTAGCACAGCCTTTGTAGACAAAGTGGTACTTGGAAGGTGTCTGAAGACTGAGATGGACAATGCACTTCAGAAAATTCAAAAACTAAAAATCACAAATGAAGACACCACCTCTGTTTCTGTAAGTCAGAGGAAGGGCTCCCACTAATGACGGAAGATGCTGTGCCAGACCTTCATCCTGAAAGTAAGTGCCTAAAACAAGAACAAAATTAATAAAGCAGAGAAACTTAATGAGAAAGACCAGCCCAGCTAAAGAATCCAGCCAACCTCTCCCTATAAGTGTCCTCCTATTTCACTCTTTCCAAGTGATGTTGCAAGTGTCAGCTGAGGGTGGCACTGCAGCATCACAGGAGACCCTCATCCTCTCAGCCAGAGCCGTGTTCTACCTCTGCTGTCTTTATGGAAGGCGGCTGGCACAGGAGCACAAAAAACACCAGTGGGAGAGAGGAAGAGATAGCGGGTTTTTCACTGGCATCTGCGGGGCTTAGGTTTTCTGTTGATCCATCTTCATATCAGTAGGTGTGTTTTTACCATTATACTACTGCAGGCATGACCCCATGTCACAGCGAGCAGCCAGCGGTGCCCAGCTGTGCTGCCCTGACCCCGGGCACCCACTTAAATCACAGGCTGTGCCTCTAGTGGTTGATCATATTTATGTATGAGGTACACACCGTTTGCATTGTCTTTCATTGCTCAGAGAACTCGAAGCCATCCTGCAAGTCTTTTTGACAGTTTTAATTGCACTAAAGTCACTGGGAAATCTACCCAGATAGAGCTTGGAAAAACTGGGCCACGAAAAGAGGCCCATTATAATTATTTGCAGTAGGAGGCAGAAACAACCCCTTTCCAGTCCCTGCCTCTCCCTACGAAATGTTCTGTGGGATTGAATTTGCTGAAAACTGCTTGGGGTCCATTGAGTGATGCACTTTCCACGTTTTCTCAGGGAAGTTGTTTTAAATAAGCTGTATAAAAATTTTAATCAGCACATAGTATTTTAAGTTCTGAGTACCATCCCTACCCTGGAACCTTTTCAGTTTAAAGTCAGTAATTGTGTCTGTTGCCTATGAAAGAGAAATTAACAGAGCAAGGGAGGAAGTGGAGGGAATTTGGGGAGTTTGTGTTTGTGTTCACACATAATGATACATTGTTTGGTCATATGTGATAATTATTTAATCAAATGGAATTTGCCCTGTGGTGCTTTACATGACACTGCTGCCAATCACCCCAAAGCAAATAAATCTTTCAGGTGCTGAAGGGAGCGTTTACTCGCCTGTCTTCTGGAGAGCTGCATGCTGTGAATGCCGAATGGCACATCTAACACTGCTGGAGTGATCCCTGGGCAGCTATGTGGAATGGGCGTCAACTCAGGGCAGACTTTATGCATTCTGGGGAGTCTAGACAACTTTTACAGAAACTTGGATATCTGTGTAAGGCTGGATATATTCTCAATAATTGCCCTGGACAAGATGCTCTGTTGAACAGAGGACACAGATTTAATGAAAAGGTACTTCCCTATAGGAGAAAGCGCCTCTTTTTTTTTTTTTTCCACATGAACACTCGATCCACGATAAATGTTTATAAAGTTCCCCTTCACCAAGTTTCTTAACTGCTGAAGAATAAATATTTAAAGAATCACAAATGCTATAATCAAAACCACGTAAGATGCTATAAGAGTGTTCCCTTTTGTACGAAAAAACAAAGGAGCTCACGCTTGCATAAAACTCCATTGCCTGGTTTGAAAACTGATACACTGTACGATACAGCATGTATTATCTTTGTGCAGTATTTTTATAACAATACCTTAAATGCCATTGGCTTAATTCTTACCATATTACTATAACAAATCTATGGAAGCTCTGCGGAAGACCAATGGAGAGGAGGCTTGGGGGTCGCATCTGCAGGGTCTTTAGCCTCTATTTGGTGAAGTCCTGGGGATGAGACCCATGTTTGAGATTAAGGACATGCCTAAGTGCCTTGCTGGATGGGAACTTACAGGACTGAGCCCTTTGCTGGCACTCAGGACAGAAATTTTCAACATTGAACAAATTCCTTACATGGAACAAGTTATTATTAATAAAAAGAAATTAAAACCAAACCAAGCCAAAACAAGAAACAACACAAAAAACCAAAAACCACATTTCCTAATTGTAATAGATAACTTACACCTGTAACACCCTGAGAAGAAGGGGAGCACCTGATGGAATCTACCAGCTGATTTCAGAATATAATTATATACATAAAGTTGAACAACAAGACTTTTAGTTAAGTCATTTGGGAAAAAATCCTGATTCCATGGAACAAAATGGGCTAAATTTCCATTTTTGACATGGGGCCAGCATTTTGTACATCAAGATAGTCATCCAAAAATATACACTAATTTGGAGATATTGTAACCACACACCTTTGTCCAGGTAGAACTTTCTTAATTCTTTGTCTTTGTCCCTTCTTTTCTGTCCTACAAGTATTGGAAAAAAAAAAAAAAAAAAAAAAAAAAAAGGTAATAAAAGCTCTTCTATTTAGGAAGGCAGGAAAATCTAAAGGAAGTATAACCACAATATCTCAGGACTCCTGGATATCAAAGGTATTTTCCTGCTTTCCTGTCCAGACCACCATACAATTGCTCTGAATGGAAAAAAAAAAGATAAAAAAAAAAGATAATAAAAGGTGGGGGGACATTCCTGTGCTCTGACAGTCACCTGGCTGCCCACATGCTCCTGCAGCACTAGTGCAGCAGATGCACAACCAGCACCTGAGCATCTCAGCTGCAGATTTTGGGCCACAGCCCCCTGCATACACCTGCACTGAAATCCTAGCCCACTGCCAGGCTGCTTTCAAACCAGCACTGACTTTGGCAGAAGCAGAGAATGATCAGAAGCAGTTTTCACCTTGTGTGTTCTGTATGTTTGCAATTATCTGTGCATTTACATGGAACATTTCTATACAAGTTCTCTTTTCTTCAGCAAGAGGCATACCCATGTATTTGAGCCTGGGGAGAAAGAGAAACCTCTTGTTGAGGTCGATGTTTTATTATTTTTGTTTTCCTTTAAGTCTCCCAGCATAAAATCTAAATTGAGAAAATTAAAATTTGGGAGTGGGGTCTGACTTTCCATTTATGGTAAACTTAATTTTCACAATAGCCATCAAGAATGAAATAATTTTACCTTATTTTTCCATAGTAAATAGCTGTGGACTTATTTCAAATCCAGTCCAGGAGCTGAAGATCTAGTAGGAGAAATAGATGAAAAACTAACAGACAGGTTTTGTAGGTTTTGTTTGTGAAATCATTAATGAAAGCACAGCCCTTTTGCTGAATTTACCTACTTTGTTGCTATCAGATATATCACTATGCCTTTCTCCTCTCTCAAGATAAATCACCATAGCAAAAGACCTCTATAAAAAAACTAGCTCAAAAAGAAGTGTGGTAAAAAACAGAGGAGGAATTAGGCAAGCATTCTTCTGCAAATTATAAGACCTTCTCATGAACATAACTATTGTTTATTTGATTTACGTTCTGTTTAAGCTTTCTGGTTTTCAAAGACCACCAGAGGGAGCCCAAAACCTCTCATAAATATAAGTAAAGGCGTGTTGGAGTCAGCAATGAAAAAATTGGAGTAAGAATTAAGCTGTCTTTGAATTTCAAAGGAATACACTAATTGGTCATTCACCAAGATCCACATAGATGCAGAAGTTCTGGACAGTGATGGATGAATCACATAAAACTATTTTAGAAGAATATTTTAAATTTAGTCCTGACAATTAAGAATGCAACCCAATTAAGAATGCAACCCAGAATAGTCTGAGCATGCCAAAAGACACACATTAGAGGTGAGGATGAAATTATGTAGGCGGCCATATACCATCCAATACATAATCACTTAGGAATATACTTTTGAGCTCCACTGCTGCGTCTGTTTAACACTATCAGGTGCAAAAACCGTAAATGAAGTTATTTATGAGATAGAGTCAGGGCTGCTTCTCATGACTGCCACTGTTTACTTCCCTGTAAGTGCTGATGGCTAAGGTAATCCCTAGGGAAAAGCTGATTCTTTGGATAAGAGGGTGAGTAGCACAGTGTCATGATTGCATGACTATCACAGAGAAGCACTTCAAAACCTAGACTGACATTGTATGGCTTGCTACTGATTTGGCTTTTCATCAGCTGATCACTGATTGATCCAGCTAAGCATTAGCTTGACTAGAAAACAAAATAAATAAGGGACTATGTGGATGGTAAAAGTAGACTTACTGGACCACTCTTAGCAGAGAAAGCTAAAAATGTCAAGCATAAGTTGTGATTTCTTGCTACAATTACCTTATATGAAGGTTGAAAAGCATCTGACTAAAACAAAAATATACCATAGGAAAAGCCCAGAAAGTTTGCCATGATGATACAGGAAATGGCGTATAATTTGTTTCCCTTTTCCATGTCAGTATTTTCAGGATACACATCCTAGTTTTATAGATATTGAAAAAAAATAAAAGTTCAATTTGCAGAAAAGCCTGAGAGGAAGATGGACAAAGGATAAGATCTGATAGCAGGACCTGACATATGAAAACACTGTTTCTTTGAATAGCCAAGTGAAATTAATGAAGATTAGATGAGCTCCATTTGCTGTAGCCAAGAACTGATTCTTTACCTTTATTAGCTCTCAGGGAAGGCTCTACAACACACTCCTTTTTATTTTTGGCATAGAAGGAAAAGCATCTTTGAGCACCCTGGTCTAATGGAAGGTGTCCCTGCCCATGGCAGTGGTGTTGAGACTAGATAATCTTTAAGGTCCTTTTCAAGTCAAACCATGCTGCGATTCTGTGATAATGTATACTTCTTTCCCTTGATGAATTGTCACAGGTTTTAATTGCAACATTTTTCAAACCAAACTTCAACCCTGGTTCTGGAGGTGCACATGAATATAATTGCCCACAGCTTTCACAGATGTAACTATGGAGCATAATTTTCATATAGTACAGCAAATCTTTCCACTTGTTTAACTCCTGTGACCTCGCCAATGGAGGAAATAGTTCTTTCCCAGTTTTAGCTCTGTAGTGCTCTGGGGAAGAAGTTGCTTTAAACAACTCAAGAAGTGCTTGACTAATATGCAGTTCTGTTTACATGCATATTACAAATAGACTGGTCAATGCCATAAAGCAAAAGCCAGTAAAACTTGGATTTGTAATATTCCTGCAGCGCACATCTTGACTACACCAGTGACTTCTGTGACACTACTGATGTCAACAAAAAAAGGGTCTAATTCAAAAAGGGTCTGAAATGAGCACTCTATCTGATCCTACCTTACTTGGTCCATAGGATAACTCATTAAAGATGCTTAAATAAATAATAAATAAAAGGAACAAAAGGTAACATCATGTTATCTCAGGTTCACTTCCTTTAGGAGACACAGGACAGAATTGCAGCCAGTTTATTATTTGAGTACTCTGCAGATGAGGGATCAAGTAGAGATCAGTTAATTAAAAAAAAGAGGATATTATTAGAACATCATCATTAAGGGGGGAAATTGTTTGAAAGCCAGGAAATTCCTTGTTTAGTGTTCACAAAGACCTGACTGCTTGAGCTTCCTCATTAGGAGAGAAAACTTACTCTACCAGAGGGCACACAGATTACAAGGTGCAGAAGAGGACGAAGGAAAAATGCTCATGCTTGTATCAGGTAGAAAAGGGCATCAGTGGAGACTAAGTCCACCCGACAAAGCTTTCTGCAAGGGACCAGTGCAAAACCCCCAAACATGATTCTTGTATCACACCTCTGAAGAAACCCCATAAAACTCAACCTACATTTGCTCTTAACTGCTTTAATGTGACAAAAGATAGCTATTTGCAAAATGGAAAACCAGGGCAAAAATCTCATGTTTTTCATGCAAATTGCAGACACCCTTCCTCCCCTCGGACCATCCCCAGAAGGGCTGCATCCAACCTGCTGGAATGCCACAGCAGGTGGTGGTGTGCTCTTGCAGGTGGGGAATGCAGGGTGGCCACCCCAGGGTGGGCATGCAGGGGCTGCAGACACAGTGGTCGGCACCTTGCAGGGCCCAACAGTGCTCTGCTGACTGGGACAGCAGCTGGAGTCACCTCTAAGGTACAGGCATAGTGCAGCCAGGCACGCTGGTGAGCCTGAGAGCCGGCTGTGGTGGGATGCATTAAAAATCCTGTGCCCAAGAGGCAAGTGTAGGACTGTAGCTGTTCCTGAAACTCGGCTTCCCCAGCCTTAGGCTCCTTCCTCACCCCCATTCCCACGACTCGGCACAGTTGGGGATCTCTTCTGCTGCCTCAGCCGGCTGTCACTCCCTGGCCATCTCTCTTTGAGCCCATGAGTCACTTCCTCTCCTCAGATCCCACCTTTCAAAACTTCCTTTTTCCTTTTTGGGGCTATGTGTCTGAAAGCCTTTTCTGAAAGAGGGCATTGGGCTTACCATGGACAAAAGCACTTCTGGGAAGCAGCATGTTTGTCTGTCTGAGGACACATAGACACAAGACCTTACAGTCACATTCCCGTGGTCCCCATGGTGCTGGCATGCACAGCTCCACACTGACCTCCTCCAGTTCTCTGCCCTGACACACTTCAGCTGTGGGGGGCTGGAAGAGGGCTTCTTGCCCCATACCTTGCCTGCAGGTGTGCATAGACAGAGGGAAGAGGAGAGAAAGAGAGGCCCAGCTCACCCCAGTTTTCTTTGCTGGCACCAGCTGCTGCCTCTTGTCCACAGAGCAGCAGCCCTGGTGTTCACTCATAGCTGGAGAGAAAGCAAGAAAGTAAACCAAAAATCCTTTAACTTAAAAAAGTTCCTTTCTTTTATCCTTTTTTTTTTTTTTTTAATCTGTTGTGAATTCAGACTTAATGTTTTTATCTACAGCTATGAAGGTTAGAGATCTGTTTCTTGGAGAACAACAGTGAACCCTCCTAAAATCAGTGACAGTGTCAGAAACTCCTCTAGCAAGCCAGTAGTGCCACACCCTGGGAAGCTCCCAGGTCTTCATGATACACCCCTTGTGTGGGATGCAGAGTTTATGTGTTCCTACCCCTCATAGGCAATGGATACCAGGAAATTTAAAGGGATGTGAGTGGAGAGGTGTGTGGGGGAGACCTGTCAGGCTTTGTGTGGTAGTTCAAGCACAACTTGTTCCCTTGGAGATTTCTGTGCTACCAGCAAGGTAATCTTATTGGCTAACAACTTAACCTGCAGGTACAGAGGCCAAATTCTGCCTGCACTTAGAAATTCATGGTAAAGCTGTTAGTTTGCTATCCTATTTTTCACTGTATTTTCAGGATTGTACTGTTGAATGAGAGTGTTTTGACTTATTTAGCCTTCAAACTACTTGAAAAGATGGTGGTTTTTTTTCTCCAGGACCTCTGAGGACTGATGTTTTGCCTACCTGTAAGGCTGTTATTGCTTCTTTGCCATGTGGTAAAGAACCATTTACTATTAGGACAGGAAACATAAATTTTGCATTAAAAGATTAATAAATTATCAAAGTCAAAAATATTATCAAAATAAATTATCAAGTCAAAATAGGAACACACTCCCTTTCAACACTTCTAAAATGTTTTTTATATTCACAGGATTTTTAAAAGACAAAACCCACAAACTTCATCTTAGCCCAAAGTCTAAATAAAATTTTTTTTTTCAGATGCAACTTTTTTCCAACACAGTGTTGCTGTAAATTCCTTATCAAGAAGTAACAAAGAAATGGATTTCTCTTTTCAGATCAAGAGAGAAGCTTTGGTAATGGCCATATTCATTCATCTTTCCATTCCAAACATCATCCATCATGCCTTACATCCCTTACACCGGACTGCGGAAAACATACCACAAATTCTACTTGGAATAGCAATGCATCTTGGACAAAGCTGACTAAATTCAAAATTAAGTTTTCAACAACTGCATGTTAAAAAGAAAATCAGTGAAAGAAAAACAGCGAGCTCTACTGAACAAATATCCCACAGTTAAAAAAAATATGTTTTGATTGATGAAGGAAAAAGCCATGACATTTTAGGTGGCTTAAAAGAAATTTCAAGGATCATATTAAAAATAAAGTTGGCATTCTATTAAAATAGAGTTATCCCAAGAGATAACTGGAATATACTGGGAAACAAGGACACAGTCTGGCTTTTCCCATTTCTCAAAGCAGTTCATTAAAGTTTCTTTTCTCCATCTCATGTCCCCAGTTGAGGGAGTTTACATTCAAGATCATCAACTTTCTTGGTTGTGAAGCAGCTCTAATCCACTTACTTGATCCTCCTGCAATCAATTAATGCCATGCTAATCCTGTGCTGGCCATGCACAATGTGGAAAACTAAATGTATCACATTATCTACAAGAAAAGTATTCAGGAATCTAGATCTGAATCCAAGACACTTTTACCTCTACAGAAAGGTCAGGATGAAACACTCTATAAGATTTATGATATCTACAAAAACAGCAAGGTAAGCTCTAAGGAGAAGCAATATCTTTCATCAGATCAACTGATCCAGCTGCAAAAAGCAGACAATATTTCAGACACAACTACAGGCAACATCAGAAGTTCAGTTTAGATTAGCCCTGCAGTGACAAAAAAGTCCTTTAGCATTAGAAATTTACACAAATAATCCTTAATAGGGCAATTTTTAAAAACTCTTTATGAAAAACATTTTTGTAGTGTAATTAGAAATAAATTTTCAACTTTTATTTTTATTAGAGCAACCCATAGGAATTTGTATGCTAGAACTAATAATGCTGATGCCTTTATCAAAATTAGTTGTATTTGTAGGATTGGAAGCCTCTGTCCAGTCTCACAGATTTTTAAACTGAGTACATTGATTCCAGAGGGTCAATGGTACTTTTCCAATGACTTAATTTCTATTCTTACAGACAGTATGAATCACATACTTTCATGAGAAATTGTAGGTCAATGGAATTACTGTGGAAAATGCAACTTCCTTTTGACTGAACTTGCCAAGTGAATGTCTTCACTTATAGTACATGAATGCTACTCTAAGGGCATCTTTGCAAAGCAGTACCTCTTTGACAGAAGCAACCTGCTGCTATTCTTTCTTGTATGTGCCTGAGCTCATTTATCTACTTCCAGTCCTTTATGTAGGCAACAAGACAGCACAAGTGTTGCCATGGGAATATGATGCTTGTGTATGTCATCCTCTCTGAATTTTGTTCTTAATTTCCACTACTGTACATTTTCAGTGGGATTCTTGATTATTTGCGCAATTGTAGTTGCCTACTCCTGGACAAGGCCATAACAAGTTCCTCCTCTGTGTATATTAGCTACCATTGCTGTACTCTATCCTATTTTATTTCTCTTTTACATATAGAAAGAGGAGTGCAGTGTAAATGTATGGAGACAAAAACAATAGAAGCCATATAAACACTGAGCAGCTCAATGCAATGGTATTGTTTGGTTCACAGACAGCCTCTCCAGTGCAAAGGAAGTGAGGTGTGCCCACACTGAAAAGAAACAGATCCCTTCTGCGTGGCCAGGGCCCTAAGGATTCTGCTTGTGAGGCTGCTGGTGCTCATGCCTTGGGCCCTGGAAGAAAATTGCTGGGACCTTCTTGTCTTACCTCCTTCCTGGGCAAGTGCAGCTTCCTCCTCTCTGGGTGGTCTTTCCAGCAATGGAGGTCTTGTCCTTCTGCGCTGGTGTGACCCAGGAGTGAACTCAGCTCATTAAATGTACTTGCCTTTCCTTTGAAAAAGAAAAGGGTAGAAATAGATAGATCCAAGTTATGACAATAATGCATTTATATGAAAAAAATAAAGACAGTGCACTTGTTGTAGAAATCAACAGCATTTCACCTCTGTGATACTTCTTTCTTGAGAAGCTGTGCCTGTCAGATCAAGCATTTCAAGACACGTCATTTCCAGAAGAGAGGAGTTAGACACACTCTTGATCGTGTGCTTCTGTTTATTCTGCGTAAGGGATCTAGGACACCTGTGTTAGTTTTAAAGCTACTACATGTACAGCACTTGACTGCTATATTTTGGCAAGGCCCAGCTGTTATTTCACATGTGTGAACTAAGAAAATACCCAAGGTAAACACAGACTTAGAAGAAGTACCAAAAACATTTACAATAAAGTGCAAGTATAGCCCAGTATGTTAACCTGCTAATATATACAGTGTGCTGGCCCTGATCTATTTCCCTTTAGAGAGGCAAAGGAAAAGAGATGTAACAAAGCCTGTGTGAAGCACCACAACTAGTTACCTGTTTTTTCTCCTAAGGTAGCAGCACCACCCTGAATTGCTTTTCTCTTACTTCTCTTTCCTCACAGTTATTACCAGTCAAGCTTACCCGAATGCAGGCAATGCAGAATATAAACATTTTTTTCTGTTAATTTTGCACATCTGACAGAATTTAATTTAAAAATCACTTTAAATCCAGATTACTTACATGTGTGCACATGCTCACACTCCCCCTCTACATACACAATGTTAAAAGGACATTACAGATGATAATTTATTTTTCTCTGCTCTTGCTGCATTTCATAATATCCCTTCTCTCTTGAAATACTGCCAGAGAAGATTGTCTTTAATAGACTTCAATGGTGTCAAAAGAACCTCAGGAAATGAGGACTGAGGTGAACCTAAGGTCCACTGTGTACCACCAGGAGTCTGATTATGCACACTGCTTTGTACAGGAGGCAAAGATCTGCACCCCTGATGTCTTGCCTTCAAAATCCAGTATTCTGTCCACTTTCTGTCTCCTCTAATTAAAGCCCATTATTTTGACCTGCTTGGTTTCTTGTCCAGAAGTGATGTTCTTTTACAATCTCCTCTTGCTCACGCTCAGTTTTCAGTTATGTCTCAGAAACTCTTAGATTTCATTAGAAATGCGTTTTACTAGAAAAAGAGGGCTACTTTATTTCCATCATTTCCTGTATGTGGGTCACATCCTTGTAAGTACAGTCATCATCTCTGTAAATACTATCCTTAGAGGTAAGCTTTCCAGCTGCCTCCTGACATGTCCTGACGTAACCACCCTGTAGTCTGTGAGCCAAATCTTCTATGGGGCAAACAAATAAAAAAATGAGTTATTGATTCAAATTAAATGAGTCAAACAAGGAATTTCCAGGCAGCAACCTGAACCCAGATTAATGTTTCCTAATTTATTTAAGCCCAGAGCCTGGCAGATATGAAAAGCTGTAGTAAAAAATCTTAGCTCTTCATTAGTGACAAGACTAAATTTTTTTATGTGATTTCAGCCCTTTGTGTATCCAGGATCAGCTCAAGAACCAAAGGACCATTTCCAAGTGTTTTAGCTCTCACTTGTTTAATTAGTTCCTGATGTAAATGAGACCTGTTCTGATGAAGTTATGCAAGCTTGCTTTGTAATAACCACATGCCATTTTGTGATTAACTAATTTCTTGCTCAAAAGCTTTCAGAAGTAAAAGACAAGCATTGTATTTGTCCCATGTTTGACATGGCAACTTTCAATTGAAATATCATGACCCTCTAATTATAGGTGCTTCAAACTTAGTAATGTTTTGCTTACATCACTCACTACTTCCATTCATCATAATCCAGGATTGCTCTAGTTCACTCAGCAGTAATTCTAGCTGGCTTTCATCATTCCCATGGAAAACATATACGAACAATTAAATCTCTCAGCAGAAGGAATCAAACTCATCTGGAGATTTATGAAAGCATTGCAAGAAAAAATCATGTATATATTTATGTGAACAATAGCAATGAATAATTATGTAAGTATCTGATAACAATATGGCTCATTTTATCAATGGTGAAACACTGATTTGGTTTGATTCTGGAGAACTTGCTGCATAACCCAAAAAGAAGGAGAGGTGGAGGAAAGACAAGGAAAAGGTTTATGTGCTTATCAATAGAAGTTCATAGAAAGACCCCTATCCAGTGCAATCTAGAAAACATTAATTTACTATAGTTATATAACCATTAAATATTTAAGTACATATTTAGAAACAACAAAGTACATCCCATTACTTTAAGACAAGGAGAGCAGGTGCCCAAGGCAGAGAAAATTTTGCCTTACTCATTTCTTATCCTTACAGGTTTGTGAATGCTGACCTCTGATCAACAATCTGCATTGTCCATTCTGCTCCACCTGCTCTGATGACTTGTTTGAAGCCCCGCAGAAAATTTGTGTGAGGGCAGGCAATGAAGAAAGGTCTCCCTGCCCCATGCTGTAACCATGAGATCACTCTTCTATGTAAGAGCCTGAAGATATCACAATATCAAGTGAGAGGCACTTTCATAGCTTTCCATGTATTTTAGTCAACATAGCTTTGCAATACTAGAGAACAAGCAGTAAGCATAATGGTTTGAGGGCTGATAGCTCTTCATGAAATATTCACATCAGGTTTATACTGACTTAAGGTTGTCTTTACAAGCTCCCAATGTGTCCTTCCAAGCCTTTAAAGAAAGAAATTAGGTTTAGCATTAACTTCCTAAAGACTACAGTTGTGTTTTTATAAAGAGGGAACATAACTGATGGATAGCTCTCTATGTGTAGATAATGTTAGTAATTGTTAGTAGTGCTCATTTTGTATATCCACATGCAACATGAAGTAAAAGGAACATGAGAAAAGAGGTGAAACATGAAGTAAAAAGAACAAAAAAAAAGAGAACAGAGCTACAGAAAGAAATTGGCAAAGTTGCAAGATGTAAAAAACCACTCTACAATACAGGGCATACACAATAAAATAGCAAAACAAGATTTGATCAAGCTAGTGCACAGGTCTCCATCCTATAGACTTCTATACAAAACAAATCCTAGTGATGTGGTTTCCCCTCGTGGTATAAATTTTTATAACTCACCAGCAAAAGACATTTTGGTGTAAAAAGGTGATACTTAGAGTCACAGAATGATTTAAACCTTCAGAGGCAGGGCCAATGTTAGGTTAGATTTAGTGTTTGCTCCTGAAGTTCCTAAACCAGGGGACACAGGTTTATTTCAATTCTATCCTTAGATAATCTGTCAGTACTTCAATTACAGCATATACAAAACAACTGAAAATGGATAAACAGCTTAGCCCTCTTTGGGCTCCCAGTGGTCCTTCCATTGACTTCCAGGATTGTTCATCATTTGCTCTTTCTGACGCTACAACGTTCATACAGTTAATGATATATTATCCATGCTTTGATCCTTCTAGCTTACAGACATAATGGCTGAGAAAGAGGAATTTACTTTAATTTTCTGCTTTGCATGACATGACAAAAAGATGCCCCCAAGGACAAGTAGGCACTAAGAGAAAGCTGTTTTGGAGATACAAAGCCTTATAAGGACCTTTTCAAGGAGTGAGATCCATGCGGAACTATCAGTGGAAGAGATTAGCACTGAGTAGAGCAGAACAGGGATTATGAGTTAGGAAAAGAAAGTGCAGAGCCTTAAAAGAAACAATCTATCTTTATTGCCTTTTAAATCAATTAGGGAGCAGACCACCAGCATTTCTACATCCTGCTTTTGCTCATGGTACTCATAGATTATGGAAATGTTGACATTTCACTTATACTTGATAAGACTATTTCTTTTAAAAAAGGACATTATTTTTAGATGCGTTGCTTTTTTTAAGTAGTGTTGTTGCAATGATGGTCTAAGGGTAAAACCAAGGCCAGATGTGTACAGAGAGGTATTGTCTTTTATTAAACTAAAACAGTTGAAAAAATAGACAAGATTTAGAACATGCCATCACTCTTCTGGTAAAAGGAATAAAACATCCTCAATTGCATCTAGCTAAACTGTGGAGATGAGCTACAAGGTGACAGTCAATGGCCTTGTTCAGGCTTACTGGGAGAAAGAAGCATGCAACCTGTCTATCATCTGCACTGTTCAAGAGGAGCACCCTGACTGTGATGAGTTTGGGGATTGATGTCCCCAGAGACTGTAAGGAACAGGACTGTTTTTCCTCTTTTCTGAGTCTCATGTGTGACAAGCTGCTTTTGACAGTATTTTTATACCTGCAGTGGGAAGTTAGGAGGCAGAGAGGCATCTTGCTGGCCAATGCACACATTCAGGTTGGATTAATTCTTTGAAAAAAGGAGACCTGGAAGAACAGAATCACTTTTTATAAATCCTTTTTATAAATCCTGCAGATGGCATTGCTGAAGTAAGCATGTTTGAATATTGCATGAAAAGAAACACATATCTGAATAAAAACTATCCAAGCAAAAAAGCTCCTAACAGCTAGTGTCTTCTACTTTCTAGTATATTTTGCCTTGGATTCAGCTACACTTAGTAACTGTATATAAAACAAAGCTTTGTGTCCTGAAAGCTAACTTCATTGCCTTGCTCTGTAAAAGTCAATAAATAAATAGGAACACTAATAAAAGGTTAGAATTTGGATGAAGAAGTAGAGATTTAATATATGGTACATAAGTCTTAAAAAGAAATACTGTTTGGAGACTATTCTGTTCCCATTCTAGTGTAATTAACAGAGATATGATCACAAACATTTCACAAGGACACTAATCCAGCAGGCAGTAGAAGCAGTGCTCTCAGTGAGCCAACAATGACTGAAAAAGAAAGTAATGGCAAATGTTGTGCATTAGAAATCAATGCACAAATAGTACAGTTCTGCAAAATTACATACCAACTGTGATCAGCCTGGAAATGTGTGGACAAAAAGGGCTAAAACTATAGAGAAACTAATAATGTCAAAAATTCTCATGTGTTTATATAATGTTAATTTTCTGGAATGCCTACCATCAGAAAAG